CATCATCCATCCACCTGTCACCCACCTATGTACATCCATCCATCATCCATCCACCTGTCACCCACCCATCATCTATTCATCATCCACCATTCCTTTACTGCATTTTCATGGTGAACACCTTCCACTGCTGTGAGTAAAGCTCTAGAAATCCACTTTGACACCAGTGTAAACACAGGCAGAAGCTGCCTTAGAGTCTGTCTGTTTGTAGGGCTCCTTCAGGTTCACTCTGATCCACAGAGGTTTGTCTGAACATGAGTGGGAAACTTCAGGCAGGAGCTCCTCACAGCAAGTTCAGTTGCTCTGATCTGGGTCCTGATGATGTCATTGGAACAGTCAATCACTGGGCGACCTCGCTCTACAGGTCGTCTTTTAGCCATAACACTTTTTTTTAAGAAGGAAACCTGAATATTTATCCTGCATGATCATCGGGGCGATCGTGGCTCAAGAGTTGGGAGTTCGTCTTGTAATCGGAAGGTTGCCGGTTCGAGCCCCGGCTCGGACAGTCTCGGTCGTTGTGTCCTTGGGCAAGACGCTTCACCCGTTGCCTACTGGTGGTGGTCAGAGGGCCCGGTGGCGCCAGTGTCCGGCAGCCTCGCCTCTGTCAGTGCGCCCCAGGGTGGCTGTGGCTACAATGTAGCTGCCATCACCAGTGTGTGAATGGGTGGATGACTGGATGTAGTGTGAAGCGCTTTGGGGTCCTTAGGGACTAGAAAAGCGCTATACAAATACAGGCCATTTACCATTCTGGATCAATAACAAGGTCAAAGTTCATTCAGTGCCTGCCTCACATTTACACTCTTACGTGTCTGTGGGTGTTTCAGACCTGAACGAGGCGATCCCAGAGACAGAGCTGCTGGATAACAGCATCCAGAAAGGCCGCGCCCAGCTGTCTGTCAAAACACGGAGACAACGCCCGTCCAGGTCCCGTTACCGAGACAGCATTAGCTCAACGGAGGGCGACGACTGCCTCGACAGAAAGGTGGAGGTCAGTGAGATGCAAGGAGCCCCATCTAAATATTTTAGAGAATTAAATGACAAAGATGTTGAAACAATAACATTTTAGATGCACATCACAGCCAGTGATGTCATCAGCACTAAGAGGAACTTTATTATTAAAATTATTAATTTAGTTTTTAATTTTAAAGTATTTTGTTATTTTGTTAATTCCTGAGATCATTTCATTGTTAGATTATTCCGTTTCTGGTGTGTGATGAAATCTGGTGTGTCTGTCATTCCAGGACAGTCCGTTGCACTCTGCCCGCTCGCCTCTCCACCTGGCGATGCGAGGCTCCTCCCCCTCCCCTGATTCGCTGCTGTCAGCTAGAAGCCCTGGATTCTCCTTCGACACGTCGCTGGTGAGATCACCGAGCTCACAGCAGGTTTTAAAAAGTAAAAGAAAACAAGTTTCATTGTCCTTTCGTTTTTCAGGTCCGTCGCTCGCCAGAGGACGGAGGCTTGTCATTGGCTGGTCCACCTCGGGGGCGGTACCATCAGCTGACCAATGCAACTTCTCAAGAGGCCCTGGTTACTCCCAGCAGCTCACCATCTAAATCCTGTCCCTCCTCCGACTGCTCACCTGTCTACATGAGGAGGAACAGAAGGCCCGACAGTGAAGGTGCACACCTGCAAACACCTGCAAACACCTGCTAACACCTGCAAACACCTGCTAACACACACATATAACAAACACTCGCTTCCTGTGAGATCTGATTGACATATAACGTTGCACAGATGCTAACGAGTGTGTGTGTGTGTCAGTGTTGGTCTCTGATACGAGTCGAGACACGAGTCCAGCTGGTCCCGGCAGTCCGACCGTCATCTTTGACAAGAAAACCAAAAGACGCTTCCTGGACCTCGGGTGAGATGCACACACATGTTGGTCTTAGTGTATTTGTGAGGACCCAATCAGTTTACAGTAACCTGAAGGTAAAAACATCAAAAGCAAGAAGATGATCCATTTACTGAACCATCCAGTCACAGCGGCCTTTCCCAGTCCCGATCAGCTCTGACTTCACTTTCAGGTGTTTTAAACTATATTTAATATTCGTGACTGATGAGGTCATTTAAGGTCCCCGCAGTCAGCACAAATGTTTCTGCACCTTTGACTGTTGTCCCCGTGTCTTTCACAGGGTGACTCTGAGGCGTTCATACATCAGAGTGAGGAAAGATAAATCCAACAGGCTCTCTGTGGGCAGCAGGTGGCTCCACTACACATCATTTAAGAGGATGAACATGTGTTTTATGCGTTTCCTGTCCTGACGCTGTCCTCTGTCCTCAGAGAGCCGTCTGAGAGTCCGTCCCGTTCCTCCGGATCCTTCATCTCCTTCTCCTGGTTCACCGAAGGACGGGGATCGATCTCCTCCTCCGGTACTCCGCCCTGCTCCCCCAAAATTCCACCGCTGAGCTCCCCGAGACCGCGCAAGTCTCACTCCCAGGTATGAGAGAAACGCAGCGTTGTGTACGGTGGCTCGAAAGTGCAAAACAAACCAACAAACAGAAACAGAGAAGGGGCTGGTAACATCAGGGAATAGTTTTAACAAAGGAAATTCATATGCAGTGGCGGTCCTAGCCTGTTTGGCGCCCTGGGCGAACACTCCCTCTGGTGTCCCTGATCACATTGCTCTGTAAACTTTTCAAGCATTTTAATAAACAAGCAAGCAATTCCACCTCTCGCATGATTGCGTAAAGTTGACAGCGCGTCAGGCAAGTAGGCAGGCTCCAATTGTTATTGATCCCTTTATTACAAGTCTGTATCATGATGTCTGGTGTTTTCGTGTTTGTTGGTTTGTTTTTATTTTGCGAGTTGGTTATTAGACGCTGCTCCAGCCAGAGAATCCCCCGCCGCCCCGCCCTCTCCTCTCTGCGCCGCAAGCAGCAGGCGCACCTCGCAAACGGAGGGCGCCCTTACTCCCAGCAAATGGGTGATAGAAAACCGATCGGTGCCTGTACCATTCCCAGTATGCGCTGGCTGACGTCGGGGCAGCATGAGTACGAGCAGGTTTTTTTTTGCCGTTGCCCGTGATGCCGCCCCCCACCACGATGCCGCCCCGGGCAACCACCCGTGTCGCCCGTATCTAAAGCCGCTACTGACCATATTTCTGGGTATGAAGTCTACATATTGTCACATTAAATACAGATTTTGAACTCTTGAAGTTGGAAAGAATTGGGTCCAGTCATCCATGACAGAAAACTCTTCATGCTGCAACCATCAAAGTCTTTATAGACTTCCTGTTTCAGGGACTGGGATTCAGTTTACTCAAAACCAGGAAATGTTCCAACCGTTTCCATAAAACGAAGGATTTCTTTGTCATCCATGAAAAGACTCCTCAGAGCCACCGCTGTAAGTGACCTTCCTCTTTTTCAGACTTGTTTTCACTCATCATCAATGAACAATGAGAGCATGCATGCACACTCGCTGGGTCCACGTCCTCATCTTAGGTTTGCCAGCGTTTTTAAAGGCTTAGACATGAAGTGAGCTGCAGTTTGGGAAGGCCTCAGAGGGGACTGGGGGGGCCCCGGGCCTGGCTCATCCCTGTATAGTAATGAGAAGTGACGAAGTAAAAAGGGGTGGGACACGGAAATGAGAACGAACAGCTTGTAGCGTGTTTGGTCCCGCTCCGGAAATCCAGATACTTTATGTCCAATTAAGCTGCTCACAGGTTTATGTTGCTTTTCTTTGATGTTAGAGGGTTTTAATTATAAACTCTGCAGATGAAGATGAGGAGGAGGAGGCAAAGGATTTCAAACCTGCAGATAAACCAGTGGTTTCCTCAGCGGCTTTGGGCCTGATGTCAGAAGGACACAGGAGGATTTTCCAGCCTGTGAACTGTGAGAGGAGCAGCAACTGTCTGCAGTCACAACCTCACTGGGAATTCAACAGTGCTGTCCTTTAATAAACACACTTTCACCAACCTTACAGCTGCTGTCTCATCATACATGAAGCAAGCAGTGTTCAACCCGTAAGGGCTCCACAGAGGGCAGCGGTGCACACGGTGCACATCACTAAACATGAACTTGGGCTCTCCTAAAGAGACGCCACACAATCATGTTTCAGAAAATGAGCGAGGAGCAAGAACCTCCTGAAGCTGACCGAGGGTCTGTTTAGTTTGTCCAGAGTGAGAGCTGCCTCAGCTGCACACCTCGATCACACCTGACGGGTGAAAAACAGCACCGTGGCTGCTGCGGTCAGTCTGCAGTGCTGCAGTCAGGTTAGGATTATCTGAGCCGAGGACAAGCTATCAACAATCAAAGAAATCTATCAGCTGTTAGAGCAGCTGCATCTTCAGTCAGTCGCTGTTTGATGAGACTGAAGGTAAAATAAAGCGACCTCAGCAGCGTTGTCTCTGGGCGTCGCCCTGAAACACAGCGAGGGGCTCTGCTGGCAGCAGGACAGGAGTCAGTCAGCTGTTTTAGTGGGTTATTCATTAAAACACTTGATGTGGATGCAACATTTCAGAGTGAAACACGTGAGCGGTCTCTGAGTGAGGACACGAACAACGTTCCCACAACACGTCACAGCAGCACACGCGTGACATATTCCACCTGACTGTAGCTGTGTTAGCTGTGCACACAGTGTCAGGTTACAGAGTGAGTGTAGTATTGATTTTACTGCTGTTGGCTGACAGACAGTCACATGATCACACAGCTGTGGTTGATGATAAATGTTCTGCAGCCTGGAGGAAGTCGTTCTTCATCCCTGTTTGCTCGTTAAGGCGCTCTCTCTGCTCGCCATCACAGCTCAGAGGAACGAGCTGCTAATGGCTCTGATGGGCTGTGTGTGTGTGTGTGTGTGTGTGTGTGTGTGTGTGTGTGTGTGTGTGTGTGTGTGTGTGTGTGTGACTGTTAATCAATGATCAATCACCAGTGGTGCCAGTTTAAGCCATTGTGCAGATGTTTATAAGGTTGGAAACCTGCAGTCAGCCGAGTCACCTGATGATGATGAAACGTTTCTCCGTCCAGAAGAACAGAATCAACTTTTGAGGATTTCCTTACCTGGATGATTAAGCATCTGCATGTCTTTGGAGTGTGGGCGGAGGCCGGAGTACCCGCAGACAACCCTCGCAAACACTGGGAGAACATGCACCACAGCACTGTGTCATTCTTGATCACTACTTTGTCCGTCTGTATCTGGAAGTCCCACAGGATCTTAGCTCATTCTCCACCCTCCCATTCGTCTCACATTTTGACCTCCGGACTTCCAGGCCATACTCGGCACAGATGTTTCTGTACACCAGAGCTTCCCAAAGTGTGGACAGGTTTTTAACGGGGCTCCCACACAAACGCAAAGCAGGAGATGAAGCATCGCTGAACATGTTTCCAAAACAACTTCATTCTAAGCCAAAGAAAATATGGTGATGCAAATCTTCCCTTTGGTTTCACCTGCACAGGTGCTGAGGTAGGTCTCCCTGCAGGATTGGTTTTCCCTTCATCGGGAGCAGCGCTGGGCTGTTCAAATCACAGACAAACAGGATCCCACAGCTGTTTATGTTTTTGAACACATTTTGCACAGAGAGGCATTTTTTGAAAGATGTATTGATAACAATGTTGAATATTATTACACAGGAAAAAAAACAACTACAGTAAAATAATCACAGCGTGACGCCTCTGCCTTTATAAATGGAGGGACAGTAACTGTGTGTAAAACCTGCAGACAGTCAGATTAACAGTATTTCGTCTCTATCATTCTGCAGTTCATCTCATGTAAACAATAACGTGGTCACAGCGTGACGTGAAAAAGGCACATACCTTTGACGTGACGAACTCTGTATTCCTCGTCCACACGTAAACACAATAAAGGAGTTTAAAAAATCTCCGTTCTCGGTGATTCGAAACGCCGTTTACGTGGACAAAACAGCTGCATTTTCAAAAATACCCGTGTAGGTGTGGACGCAGCGTAAAAGAGTTAGTAGTTTATTTTATTACTACCTGTCATTTATTGCAGTTTACTTGTATTTGTTTAATTGTTTACTAAATGTTTGAGGTGTGAAATAAACCGCAATGGAGCAAAATATGGGCGTGTGGTTGGAGGATGTGTTTGTGCTGGGGGGGGTAAAACAAAGGGGGGCCTAGCAAAAAAAGGGAACCACTGCTGTACACTATGCCGACCACTTAGTCGTTTCTGGTCCAAACTCCTCTTCATTTCCTAAACAAACAAACACAGCGTCATCACTGGGAGTTAAAAACTGAGAGTTAACCTCCAGGCATCCATGAAAACCAGGATTTATGAAGTTTAACGGCATTAGGTTAGCAGGAAGTTAGCTCGCTAGTTTCCATCTAAAAATGATACACCTTGTCTGACTGAGACATTTCTGAAACAATTCAAGCGTACAGCTCTGCTGTCACTTCCAACATAAATGAAGACAGAAAACTAAACAGCAGTGATGATTGTAGGGTTACTGACGTTGGGCTAGCTGCTATACAATGATGTGCTACGTGATCGCTAGCGACACAGCTATGTTAGCATAGCATGAACAGATTCACACAGTGAAGCTGGAGGATGAACTTTTTCCCCACAATAAAAGTGAACGTGAGGGTTCCTGATGCACTCACACAGCAGGAAAAAGATGCTGTAAAGTTCAGTCGGGGAAACACCTGAAAGGATGCATCCACAGTACACACTTCCTGTTATCTTCATGCACCCGTTCAAATGTTTCTTAGATTCGAGTGATTCTTTTCCAACCCGATCTGAGCTGTAGTCACATAGTGAGGTCTTAAAAACTGAGCTTTAAACTGCTGCAGATGAAGAGTGCTGACAAAATCAGAGGCCAACAACGTGACATTGTTCAGATTAAACAGAACAGCAAACAAAGCATTCAGTCACATTGGTGCCGTGTAGGACCTGGATGCAGGGTTTATATGTCATTGTTTAACAGCTGTGCCCTTGTGCTCATGATTAGTGCCTCTCCTTCAGTCCAGCTTAGTCCAGCCACTGGTAGGACTTCTGGATGTCAGCCACCTCCTCTATCTGCCGGTGGTACATGCCATGCCTGTCCTTCCATGGTCGGTTGGAGCCATCTTCCTGATGTATTCGTGGATGTTTGTTGTCTCATCCTGGACTGTGGTGCTGACACTCACCAGTCCAGCGCCACCTTCCTTCCCCTTGCATACAGCCTCAGGGCGCTGGACTTGGGGTAAAACCTCCATGCATGCTCAGGAGCTTCCTGTTCTTGTATCAGCTCCTTTGGCCAGCTTGGTCATCGTCGAGTTGAACTTCGTGTTCTTAAGCCTGATCATGCTGCTGTAATCTGCAAGCCGCTTTGTAACCCACCTGTCTGAGACAGTCAGAGTGGTGTCTGTGCGTGCTCTTCCTTTATGTTTTCACACGTGCTGAGGTCTGTGGTCAAATATGGCTGACTGCAGATGGACACAGCGCTGTGTTTCTGAGAGCGGAGAAACAGGACAGAAGGTGAGATAATCGCTCGCAATGCGAAGAGGGTGGGTCATACTGAGGGGAGCGATAGAGGCAACAACCACTCAATGAAGAACAACAAATATCTGAGGGGGACTGTTACCAAGACAACCAACCACGTGACCAGCTGTCTGCTGGTGCTCGTAGCTGCGGTTGTAGTTTTAGTGAAATAATGAAGTAACGTCTCTGTGTTCTCCCCACAGGAGTCGGCTCTCAGTGAGGAGTTCTCTCCTCCTCACACCTCCTCCTCCACCTCTCCTCCCATTGACTCCTCTTCCTCCAGGTCCTCCCATCCCTACCACACCCTGTCCCAGTCCTCCGACGAGGTAACACACTCGCCACCTCAAACACCAAAACGTTGTCATCTGCTCACCTGCTGCTCACTGTGCTCCCTCTTCCTCCTCCTCAGCCCTGCGATGAACCCCACTCGTCCTGGACGACTCAGCAGGTGTGTCAGTGGCTCCGAGGACTCAACATGGAGCAGTACGTCCCAGAATTCAGTGCTAGAGACATCGACGGGCAGCAGCTGCTGCAGATGGACGGCAGCAGACTGAAGGTGAGGATGAGGAGGAAGAACAGGACTTCCTGAGAGACGCTGTCATAGCTGTAGTCTTAGGCTGACTCACACAGCTTGCAAAGGTTACACGTAAAGTCAATTACAATACTGAACTGTTTGGAGACCATAACTGGAGCTGTCCTCCCGTCCTCTGCAGGGTCTGGGCGTGCTCAGTTCGTCTGATCGCAGTGCGCTGAAGCGCCGCATCAAAGATGTTCAAAGTGCAGCAGAGAAGGAGAAAAAAGCTCTGGACAAGCTGGAGAAACAGAAGGAAAAGCAGCGCCGGAAGGACCAGGAGCAGCGCAGGAACTGAGCCCCGCCACCAGAGGGAGGAAGAGGACAGTGAGATGAAGAGAACAGGATTTCTGCCGCTGGGAAGGTTTGACATGACAAACAATTCCTGGAAAAGCTGCAATTCCATGATCCATAAGACATCTCCAGGCCTGGAAAAGTTAAACTGAAGTTTACTGTTATGGAGGAAATATGTCAGGCGATGACGGCACAGTGTTTCATTTGCCACAAAGTGGTTTTCATCTATTTTTCCTCCATTTGATGTTTAAACTCATCCTCTGTGATCGGCTGGCAGGAACGCTGACAGATCATTAACTCAGCAGGTTCCCACACGCAGCTGCTCTGATTCCCTCTGGTGATTCTTCTTCTGCAAGCCAAACGTTATACAAGGTGTGCTTTTTCTCCGAAATGAGTGTCACAGCAGGTTTTCTGTTTTGTTTCTGGGCTGTGGAGTCTCAGCCCAAGGCGGCGTGTCGGTGCTGCTGTGAACAGTTTTTGTGGTTTCTCTGTTTGTTGTAGGTTCTGTGTTCAGGTGTGTGAGGTCTGACAGGTGTTTGGATATTTTCCACAATCATCTCACAGCTTGTTTTCCACCTGAAATCTCTGACAGAAGGAAACATTGTTGAACCTTCGCTTTACACAGGTGGAAGTGTTCGTGTCAGAGAGGGTCAAACGTCCCGACGCCGGTCAAGTCAGATTATTAACCTCTGGAGATATTTCTGACCTCTCACAGTCTCTGTTAAAATGTTTGTTTCAATAAATAAATCTGTGAAACTTTTACAGCGTTGCTTTGTTTTCTTTCTGACGAGATTCACAGCTGGAGCCACGACGCAGGGTTAAAGCATCAACACAAATAAGAATATAAGAAAAATGCATGCAAGCAAATTTATTTTCCTTCAGTCGGTGAAAAACAACCACAGACCCAGAATGCAAAGGTTGGATCACAGCGTCCAGCAGGGGGCAGCACACCCGGGGCTTAGCCCTAAAGGGTAGTATGCATGTGGGATTTGAGGGGGGGGAGGGGGGGGTTGAAATGACTGACAGATTAATAGGCTCTGTTTTGAGTTTTGTTCAAAAAAGAATGACTTCATATAGGCAAAAATATATATCACATATACAGGACACCTTAAACTAGTTTTTTAATTAAGCAGCGAGTCAGAACAAAGTCAGGCTGCATCAAGACACGAGGACTAAACCCCAATTCAACCAGACCCAGAACTGATCCAGAATTAAAACAGGACTACAACAGTTCAAAATCAGGACGACTGAGGACTTAACCAAGACAGAACCAGAATCAGAACTAGATGATAGCAGTACTAAAATCATCATAGACCTGCACTACACTTATTGTTTAATTCTACCAAAGTCCACTATTTAGATTCAGAAAGGTTTATATAATTATTCAGCCTCGTTGTGCAAACAAGCTGCAAAACTTAATAAATATAGAGTTTGAAAAGTAACAAACCTAAAAAGAAACACTAGATACGAGATACATGAGTCCCTATGATACGGTGATACTTTTGGTAAACAACCATTTGACTAACATGTGTGTCTCACCCTGTTCCTCTCTCCCTCTCTGCTCCTCTCTCCCTCTCTCACCCTGTTCCTCTCTCCCTCTCTCTCACCCTGTTCCTCTCTCCCTCTCTGCTCCTCTCTCCCTCTCTCACCCTGTTCCTCTCCCTCTCTCTCTCTGTGCTGACAATCAAGCCAAACACCAACATCATCAAATATTCAGTTGAAATCAGATATTTACAAACGCTTCAGATCAAAACACTTTTTTAATTGTAACATCAAATCAGACTAAATGTTTATTTTTTAGATAAATATAAAAACATATTTGTTAACTTTAAGAGTAAAGAGAGAAACTGTCTGTGTTTCTTAACTGTAAATGGCACCAAACTGTATTCAAACTGAGCCACACTTATGGAGCTCCACAGCTCTGTTCCTGGTGTTTTGTTGACATCTCCTGATGTTCCCATGTCACAGAAACAGCCTCTGTGTTTTGCCTTATATGCATCCACAGCTGTGCCACCAGTTTACTCACATGGACTCTACCAACCAATCAGAAGCTTCTTCAGCTCAGAATCGTCTGCAGTTTTCTTATTAATTAACAATAAACTTAAGAGTATATGTACTCCTACATTTGATGAAAGTGATAAAAAATACACAGCTCTGTCTCTCTTTATTCTGACATTTAACTAATTCAAAAGATATTTCAATATTTATTTAACCAAAACAAAACAAGTTTACTTTAAATTGATGTTTAACAGTAAAAAAATGTTCTTGTGTTTTCCATAAAGTGTAAATATCTGGTTTAAACTGTGAATATACTGCTGTGTGCTGAAGTTCCTCTTGTTTAGCATAGAAATATACTGAACAACATACAAAGCATAATATATAAAATAACATCTACCTGAGTTGTTTCTTTGAAAGAAGCTCCTCATGTCCATTCTTGTATATCAGTGCATTACTGATTTATTTAGCCGTGGAGGGAAACAACTGAAAATATGAAACAAACACATGTAAGCTAAGACTCTCTAAAGAAACAGTTGTTGTTGTTGTTCGGCTTTTCATTTCACCGTTTGTTGATTCACTCGAAGAGCAAGTAACGTAATATGGGTCAAGTGATCAGTTTGACATCAATCTTTCGTGATTCACCGTCATATTTACATTATTTGTACAGTACGAATGATTTGCTTTGGTACCTGGTCGAACTTCAGCTCTCCTCTGTCTGCCTCGCTCCGTTTCTCTAACAGTGCACTCGCAGGCAGCAGCTGCCCCGCCCCCTCGCTCAGTCGCTTTAGTGTCTGAGCTCGGATCATACCAATATTAGGGGGGGGGGTTACGCACAGTGGTAAATTCCCACAGTGTGCACTATGTGCTTCAAATATTGTGTGTAGTTTTTGTTTTATACAGTTGTCAGCCAGGCATGTAACTATGAAAAAATTACACTCCAAAAGACCTCGGGCTTCTGAAAAAAACAACCCGGGCTTAAGCCCAATAAGCCCCCCCTCCGCCACTGGGCAGCAGAGTCGGACCACACGCAAGTCAGTGGCTTCCAAGAACGCCCAGAATAATGATGGTAAATTCGATTCTTTTTACTGAATCGACTTTTAATGAGTCACTCACCAAAGTGAATCGCTTTCTTGAGTCATTTGAGTCACTGAGTCAGTTGACCAGAGAGTGCAAAACTGTACATTTTACCTCAAACTTAATTTGTTTCTCTGTTAATGTAAATCCTACTGCTAAGATGAGTGATTCTAAAAGAAAACTATTTTATAGAGAAAAAAAGAGCAAAAAAAATTCTAAGGGGAACATTTATTTATATATTTTTATTTTATTTTATTAGTATTTTCCTTAAATGTGTCAAATATATATTTTCTCACCTAAATGTCCACTGAGCTGTGAGCCAGGGGGCGGTAATGCACCTTAACATTGGTTGCAAACCAAGAAGAAGAAGAAGCTGTGAGCCAGGAGGGAGGGGGTGAGTGGGTGAGTGGTCGTGTCCAAATTCATGGGCTGCTTCCTCCTGTTGGACGCATTTGTAGACCGATTACGTCACAGCGACGCGCCAAAAGCTGTCCAAATTCGTAGACTCCTCCGAATGCAGCCGACAAATGCGTCCTCCTTTTCCCCGAATTTGAAGGATGGGTCGGGTGTGTCCTTCGTGGCCCACCATATCCCAGAATTCATAGCGCGGCCCAGCCAAACTCCAGTTTCCGGCAATGGCGACTGCTACTAAGTTTTAATATTACTCTTATTATTCTTTCTGGGTCACAAAATAAACTTTTAACATATCTTCAGGCGAGAAAGTAGCTGTGTAAACATCAAATATCTGCTCGGTTTGTCAAGACACCACATATTTGCAAAAGTGCTTCGACGTTTTCGGAGACGTCTGTTACCCACCAGCTCAATAGCTGACCGGGAGCTCGTGGGTCACTGAAGCCGCAGAGAACGGCACAACTCCTGGCACAACTCCTGGCACATCATCATTGGCACAGCGCGGACTTTCGCTACTCAGGTTAAACATAATATATAAGTCACTTAGACAACATAAAAATGATGTTGTTGGGCTTTTTTCAGTGTTTTATTAGTTTGTGAGTAAATCGGTTTCACTGAGATTAAAGTTATTAGATTAGATTAGATTAGATTAGATAAAATAAAACTTTATTAATCTCCCGGGTGGTTTTCACACAGCTGAATAAACGTCAAACCAAAAACTGATTAAACCGAAGTGTGAGATGGTCGAGAGTTTACTCAAGTGTCCTGTTATAGTTTAGATAGCAAGGAGCAGACGGCCGTGTTTATTCAATTCATTTCAATTCAATTTTATTTATATAGCGCCAAATCACAACAAAAGTCGCCTCAAGGCGCTTCATAGATACAGAAAAAAACCCAACAATCATATGACCCCCT